GGCCGCTGGGTGGGGCGACCGTTTTCCGCCTCTCAAATCGAGCCTCCTCATTGGCTCATTTAAAAATCGATTCCGCTTCATAAATATGCAGCCGCTTTCGTTTCCCGCGCTCCAAACTGCTCTATGGTCTTCGAACAGTTGTCGAAATTCAACCCTAATACCAAGGACTTAGATTCAAAAATGGAATGTTTTCATTTGACAGATACGTAACAACGTTCGGAAACGCAGTCAATTGTTTTAACGACATGTCTTTCTGGCCTCTTTTGCTTTATTTAAAAGAGTATGGAGCCAAGAGATGTTTTTTTTTTCTCGTTGTCGCATTCAGGACGCATGGCTATATTATATATCGGTATGTATCGAAATAAACAATGGACGTGTTCTACGTGGGTGAAATTGAAACGGTAATAAATGTGTATTTATGATTTATGGTGAAAGGAAGCGAAGGGATGTTCGGGAGTATTGTCGATGGTTAAGAATTTTGTAGCGTTTAGGATAAACTATTTAATTATTATTATTCTAGTTAAAAGATATTTAAGTTATTACCAAATAATCGTACTCAGAGTCTAACATTAGCTAATTAGAGGTATTTATTTGGAGGGTTAGAGTTAACCTTACATTACTCGTACAACTTTAATCCCACAGAAGCCTTTCAACACAAGACGTCCACCTGTGTACTGCGTCTAGGGAGGTGTAAAAAGGGTGACATGAAGAAATAATAACACATAATTTTAGTTTCCCTTTCCAACCTTCTCTTAAGAGGAAAGGTTGAAAGGAGAAGTAGATTTGATTGTGGAGGAAACGCATAGGAAGGGGAAATGTCCTCTTTATGTGCATCTCCTCCGTCAATGAAGGGTAGGACGCATCTGCAATTGAGGATGTTTATGAGCACCGGTCGCTTTCCATTTCGGTGGATTCAGGGCGCTTGCTGCTTGCCACCTTTTATTATAAAAAAAAAACATAATTTTCATTATGTCAGAATCATTCTAACAATAATATAATTAGCGCATATAACCTAAAATGGGCGCGAAAAATCAAAGATTGAAGATTTAAATTTGATATGATACAATTTTATGGACGTTGGCAGACATTACAGAACAATAGATTATTTGCTGGTTACGCCTATTTATACTTAAACGAGCTTTCGCCGGCGACTCCGTCCGAATTAAAAAAAACAAAAGTGTGTAGCCTATGTGTTCCTCCAGTCTATCCTCTACATCTATACCAAATTTCATCGAAATCCGTTCAGCCGTTAAGGCTACAAACTCTAACAAATCCACCCATCTAAACTTTCGCATTTATAATATTAGTATGAAGTATTATTATAAAGAGGAAGGATTTGTATTTTTGTATGAATTGTAATAACTCAAAAACTACAGAACCGATTTTAAAATTTCTTTCACTGTTAGAAAGGCAAATACTTCTATTAGCTAGTAATAACTATTTTTATCAGATTTTTGCCACAATGAGTGTCGGAAGGTCAACGAAAAGGGTAATTGTATATTCTATAATCTATTATCTATCTGTACTCAAAAGCATACAATTTCCTTAAGACTATCTACAACTCTGTATTACTAATAATTTAATATCTTTAACATTTAACGTCTGTCTACCTCGTTAAACCTAGGCGTTAAGATGTAACCAATTAGTAGGGGAAGCCGGACGATAGCTCGGTCTTCCCGGCGTTATCTAAGCCTTAATACTCAAGGAATGCTACAAGAATGTTCGTGTATGGCTTCCCTTGTCAAAGTCAATGCTTGTCTCAAATATACGACTTTCTTGTTCATATAATTCTCGTTACTCCGAATTGTAGACAGATTATGAATATTCGACTCGACCCTGACAACGGCACTTCTCTTTTGCCATGCCATGCCAGTAAACTGGAGTCGCTAGTAAGGCACATGCCAATATTTTTTATAATTTTTATTTTATTTAACGAAGTCGCAAACGACCGATTCGGTGGATCCAGCTTTAGCGCCAGGGGGGAGGGGGGGTCACATAGTCGTGGTCAAGTCAAGAGCTTGACAAAATCACCAATCAGCTCAGGGGGGGTCATGGCTCCCATGACTCCCCCCTGGATCCGCCATTGCATACAACAGTTATTGTAGTAATTTGATGGCTTTTTTAACAATAAATAATTGCATTCAAGTTGGCGATATGCCAGAAAAAAGAGGCGATGCGCGTGTAATTGAGTCGGGGGCTATCGACAAACAATTGGCAAGGCGATGCCAATATGAACAGTATCATCTTTCACCCCACCCTCGTGGCTTACGTATTTGAGGGTAGATAGAAATTTTTTGTGGGATTATTTACATTTTTTAGACTCGCAAAGAATTTTACTAATACAAAGAAACCCAGTTACTTTAATTACTTTATGAAATTTAGATAATTATATCTTAAAATTGTAAATAACCATACAAAATTTTCAACAATATAAAATGCACCAAAAAAGTCAAAATCCTATTTATTGTTTAATTACTTTTAATCTTTGAATGTCAATTCAGAAAAACATTGTAGTTTATATCATATTTTTTCATTAAAACAATGTATTTTATTTCAAATATAATAATTCTAACAATCGCTCTGTAAGGATTACGAGTTTTGTAATATATTTTTAATTATTCGATGCGAGTTTCCCGCCCCTGTTATTGATGCGTAAAATGAACTAGAAGTGTACTCCCGAACGCAATCTTACCACATGTGCACTGCGTTTCCGAACGCAACTTATTAGCAACCCCGTGGTGAAAATGACGTTTAAAATCCCGCGCAAACTGCTACTGTTGTACAATAATGTGTTTGTGTGTTATAATCTTTGTTCAAACTGTACAGAAATGTCGTCTCTCGTGTCGGAGGCCAAGACACACTTTGGGTCTCTGCGCCAACGCAGTAAGTAATAGTTACCGCGTTTATTTGTAAGGCTGTATGTTTTTTATTTATTAAGATTTCAAGTGTGTGATTCTCTGGTAAATCATACTAACATAGTAATATTAATGTTATATATGCGTAAGTTTGGATGGATGGATGTTTGTTAGAGTTTTAGCATAAACTGCTGAACGGATTTCAATTAAATTTGGTATACATGTAGATGATAGTCTGGAAGAACACATAGGCTATTCACTTTTGTTTTCTTAAATTTCACGCGGACAGATTCGCGGGCGAAAGCTAATATTTAATTATTGCAATTCAGTTTTTTTACAAGCGGCTACCTAAATCGGCCAAAATGGCGAAACGACCGCTTCCATAGACATCCGCAATTGCAGATGCGTTGCCTACGCTTATCCGACGGAGGAGATGTACATAAAGCAGATATTTCCCTTTCCTATGCAACTCCTCCACCGTCAAATCCACTTCTCCTTTCCATCCTCTCCTTATAAGAAAAGGGTGGTTAAGAGAAAGGTACTTAAATTAGGCCTCCGGCACCACACTCATCAGACGAAACACGGAATTGCTTCCATTTCACGCCTGTCTCCTGTTTATTTGCAACAAGAAAATCTTTAGGTAAAATGTAATAGGTTATAGGTGTCTAAAAGTCTAGACAGACGTGATTTTATAATATTTATTAAACATTAGGTTACAAAATCTAGTCTATTAGGAAATTTATCATAAATTAGCGTAGAAATAAAAATCTAAATATAATGTCTGCTCGAAATATTGACAATAAAGCTTAAGGTCGAGGCTAA